TCCACCCTGGAACCCCAGAAATCCCCCCTGGGTCCCCGTGATTCCACCCTGGAACCACGGAAACCCCCCCTGGAACCCCGTGATTCCACCCTGGAACAACGGGAATCCCCCCTGGAACCCCGTGATTCCGCCCTGGAACCACGGAAATCCCTCCTGGAACCCCGTGAATCCCCCCTTGAGCCCCAAAAATCCCCTCGGAACCCCGTCATTGCACCCTGCAACCCTGTGAATCCCCCTGGAACCCCGTGATTCCACCCTGGAACAACGGGAATCCCCCCTGGATCCCTGTGATTCCACCCTGGAACCCCAGAAATCCCCCCTGGAACCCCGTGATTCCGCCCTGGAACCACGGAAAGCCCTCCTGGAACTCTGTGAATCCCCTCCTGGAGCCCCAGAAATCCCCTCGGAACCCCGTCATTGCACCCTGGAACCTTGTGAATCCCCATGGAACCCTATGATTCCACCCTGGAACAACGGGAATACCCCCTGGATCCCCGTGGTTCCACCCTGGAACCCCAGAAATCCCCCCTGGATCCCCGTGATTCCACCCTGGAACCCTGTGAATCCCCCTGGAACCCCACAATTCCACCCCAGAACCCCGTGAATCCACCCTGGAACCCCACAATTCCACCCTGGAACCCCATAATTTCACCCTGGAACCCCGTGAATCCACCCTGGAATCCTGTGAATCCCCCTGGAACCCCGTAATTCCACTCTGGAACCCTGTGAATCCACCCTGGAACCCCAGAAATCCCCCCTGGAACCCTATGATTCCACCCCAGAACCCCTTAAATATCCCTGGAACCTTGTGATCATCCCCTGTGGCCACATGAATCCCTGTCTGGAACCCCATGAATTCCCCAGATCCCCTTACATCCCCTCTGGAGCCCCAAGATTCCACTCTGGAACCCCTTAAATCTCCCTGGAACCCCATGAATCCTCCCATAACTCCTTAAATCTCCCTGGAAGTTTCCAGGCTCAGGCTGGACAGGGCTTGGAGCAGCCTGGGATGGTGGAAGGTGTCCCTGTCCATGGCAGGGATAAGATGAGCTTTAGGATCCCTTCCAACCCAAACCATTCCTTGGTTCTATTTGATGTTTAGGGCTCCCAGCCCCCTTGGTTTGCTGGCAGCAGCCCCCTGAGGCAGCAAGGCCTGGAAGGTGACACCAGTCCCGAGGAGGACCCCAGTTTGGGGACACCCACGTGGCCAGGGTGTCCCCAGTGTGGGGCTGCAGCTGGGACCGTGCAGCTTTATCCCAAAGTGTGGGATCAGACATCCCAGTCAGACTGGAGCAGCAGGCTGGGATGCAGCGTGGCACTGCTCTGTGCAGGCACCACTGGTTTTGCTAGAACAACCCCAAAACTGCAGCAGATCCAGCCCCAAGTGCACTCTGATTTCCCAACAGCTTTTTTTCCCAGTGTGAATTCCTGCAGGGGAGGAGCTGGGCGCAGCCTCACCTGGGAGCCTCAATCCCTGCTGCGTGGGCAGGTGGGGGAGGACAGGATCCCCTCCCTCTCAACAACATCCCTCAGCCTGGGACATCTCCCTGCCAGCAGAGGCTCTTCCCTCTTGGGAGGAATGCAGGGGTTTTTAGGATTTTGCCCTCTTGACCTTCACCCACCAAGAAATCTCTCTGTGGCATCGCTGTTGGCCCAATGAACATTATTTTGGTGTCACACCCGTGCTGGGCACCCAAAAACATGTGGCTCCACTCTAGGCTGGGGCAGCAAAGGGATCTTCTGGATCTCTGGAACAGGCTGCCAGGGAAGGGGTGGAATCACCATCCCTGGAATTGTTCAAAGAACTCAGAGAGGTGGCACCTGGGGACAAGATTTAGTGGAGGCCTTGGCAGTGCTGGGATAATGTTTGGATTTCATGATCTTAGATGGCTTTTCCAAAGTTAATGACTCTGATTCTGCCCATCACTTCTGTCCCCCATCCCTGAAACTGTCACCTGCTCCTTCCACCACCTGTGGGTAAAGCCTGTGAAGGAGAAATAGCTCAATTTAAAGGCTAATTATCATTAATCTGTGGTCAAAGCAGGCTTAAAAGGGTGAGCCAATTACATGTGCTAATGTGCTGTGGGTAAGGAGGGCCGAGGGCTGTAATTGGAGCCAGGCTGTGGCCTGAACACCCACGGGGTATTGGATGGTATTTCTGGCTGAGGCTGGTCCTGCTCCTGTCAGTCAGCTCTGCTGGTGTTGGAAAAGGCAGGAAAGAGCAGCCAGACACGGATCCAAACATGGATCTTTGCAGCAGAGGAGCAGCTGTGACTCCACAGACACCTCCTAGGGAGATTCACCAAAGGGAGCACGAAAAACCCAGCAAAATTCCACCTTTTGAGCAAGATGTGGCAGCTGGGTATGAGCTCTGCAGCTGGTGTTACACAAGAGCAATTCCTGCTCCTCCTGTTTCAGCAGGGTGAAGGAGGAGGGGTGGTGCCTGTGCAGGTCCTGGCAGTGTTGGGATTGATGCTCCTCTGCCAGGGAGGCACCCCTGGACCTGGTCCCCATCGTTGGGTGGTCACACTTGTGGCTCTGGGTGCCTTGGTGCTTGAGTTTTTGGGTGTCCTGGCAGTGCAGGAGGTTTCTCTGCCCTGGGAGGCAGAGGGGAGCAGAGGCTCTGCCCACCAGCTTCCCCTCAGCC